AATTCTACACATCCAAATATACGAAGTAGTTCGCTAGCCCTCTCTTTGCTTATTCCTCAGAATCCATCTTTCTATGGGCCAGTTTTTCAGTGTACTGCTGTGGTTTTAACTTAGCTTAAACGCTCGCGTTGGCTGGTTTAAACTAAGATTAACCTATCAAATGTTAACCAGCTGTTCAACATACACGCAGTTTACGTGATATAAGTTTAAACTGGCACAAAAAAACTGGCCCTATTACGACGTAATGAAGTACATTCTTTAAACGATGTACATAGACAAAAGTGCCGCATTCAGGAGTACCGATATTTTGTTCTTAACGAGTTCGACAGAATTAGCTGTTGCTTCGTCATCATAGAAATGCGCAATGTATTCTATAGTTCTTGCATTCTTTACATGGTCCTTTTTCTTCATTCTCAGCACACGTTCTCGATGTCGACAATATGAGAGTGCAAAATGTACTGACGAAATGTATGGATCGCGTTTTGAAAATGCTCCATGCTCAATATTTATTGGCAGTATTGCGATCTGGGATCCTGATTTCTAAGTTTCTAAATGTTTTGCGATCCGCATTACGATCCATCAATATTGCATGCTAGACGGTCAATAGATATCGCGATACTTGGTTCACGTCAATAAATATTGATCGTGAGACAGGGCCCAATCACCGCAATCTTGTATGCCATATGTCTTTCGGCATAAACATCAAGATTGACATCGCGACAATTTGGTAGATGTTAAGCCGACAAAGAATACTTTTACAAAAAAGAAAAAATAAATAAGAAAAGGAAAAAGTAGTTGCTTAGTTCTAAACTTGGTTGAACATAGAACGTGAGTATTAGGAACTCAGTCTCCAAAAATAAGAAAAGTTTAATCTAAAAAAATGCATTTATTACTCACACATATGTTACCAATACTTGTCCATTTTTTTTGTGATATATTGTTGCACTCAAAGAATTTCTGTATGTTTACATCTGTAACTAAGTTCGTTTGCTCATATTCATGCACAATTTTGGGTCAAGGGCAAAATTGCTAACATAAAGTGGAACAGCGTTGGCGTCGCAGTCTCTGTCAGTGTATCAGTCGGTGGCGCGCCTGACTAGCGCTAAGCTGAAATGACACTTTTTATTCGGCCGGTTGCAGTCGCTGACGCAATTAGGTGCATCATGGCGATTCTACAGAAACAAATTGATAGAGTAGAAGCAATAAATGCCAGTATTTTGCGCATTCCGAAAAAACTCTCGCAGTTGCTTTAATTTACTCGAAATTAAAAATATGTACATTTGTACGTATGTATGTATGTATTTATAAAAATAAAACGAGCATGCTAATTGGCCGAATTAAATGTATAAACATGTACACACATGCACATACGTACATGTATTTTGATAGGTTTTTTGGAATAGATCCCGTAAAAAATGTATACAGAAATCTTTGAAAAAATAGGACACACATTTTGAAGAAATGTCAAGCGTTTTGTAAACAAAATAGTAGCATAAAATGAACTACAATAAAAATATTAAGATCTTTATTCTTTTAACCGTTCGCATGTTGCTACAATAGGTATTTCCTTGCCTATATATAAATTGCGTATATAGTTTCCAATAATCGATAATATTGTATTTTTGATTGCCATAGCATCAAAGGTTAGATCGTTAACCAGTAGTGATATGATGCGTATTTTTCCTACAAAGCGAAAAAAGAAGATAACGCCACTGGTCAGGCTATTGAACAAAAGCATGCAGCTTCTTTAGCCTCTCCTTCGCTCTTATATTTTAGTTTCTTTAACTCTCACTCTCTTAAATGTTCCAAATTTCCCATTCCCCTTATTACAATGGCACATGGCAATGCTGTTACTGAAAAAGTTGTTGGGGTTTATTTGGTCGGTTGTTGATTTCGCCTGATGTTTCGTACAATGTCGTGGCATTGTCACTATTGGTGACTCTTTCGTGCGCACCCATCATTATTTGGAAATCTTTAACAAGCTGAGGGAAAACTTTTCATTCCACTCATTACCAGAAAAAAATTCTAAAAGCCATTTCCGTAGAGCAAGCGAATAATCGCTCAGCAATTATTTATTATTATTTTTATATCAGGTAAAATCTAATCCGAGCGCAGAATTCCACGAAAGTGGGAAAATCTTTTGACTGTCATTCACTTGGGAGTGGCTAGAAGTGATTCTTTTGCGTACGGTTCAAATTGCGACTGAGAACGTCGGAGAACGTATCCTCTGTGTAGCGACCAAACACCTGTTTCACGTCACGTTAAAACCCCGCCTAATGAAAAATAATAAATTATGCACCTGGAATATCTGGATCATTAATGGGGAAGGTGCCTCTGCCGGGCTGGTTGATGTCTTCGGGAAGACCAAGGCTGACATCACCGCCATCCAAGAAATGCGATGGACGGGGCAAGGCGAAGTATGCGTGGAGCTTTACCACGTCTACTACAGTTGCCACGTTAAGGAGCGCAAATTCGGTATTGGATTGGTGGTGGGAGAGAGACTCCGTTGCCGAGTATTGGTGTTCACCTCGGTGGACGAACGTCTTGCATTTTCGCTTGTTTTGAGTAGATGAAGGCACTGATTTGAGCCTTTTCTTGTTGCCGGAGAAGAAGTGGCCCGCCAAGGGTATATAACATTTCTTGTGCATAAAAGTGAAGACTCCGGGCTGCGTAGATTTCTATTTAAAAAAATCTTTATGTGAAGTCGGCTTTTGGCTGCACCTAGAGTACAACCGCACAACAAGCTTTTCAGGCGTTTTGCGCTTTTCAGGCTTTCAGCAATAGCTGAATAATATAGCTGACAGCCTGAAAAATGCGGAATGCCTGAAAATCTTGTGTGGAGTTGTGCTCTTAGGGACTATAAGCCTTACTAGCTTAGGGCAAAGAACGTAAATCTATAAGAAGAGACAACACGTTATAATTGTAACGAGTGGGAGCATCAGGAGGGTTCTTTCTCTTTTGCCCAAATACGTTTTGTGATTGGATGAAAAGAGAAGGCTATTAGCTGACCCAAAAGCAATTTTCCTTTCGAATATTTTTTATTTCCTGGTCGCAGAAGAGAAGGGTGACACCAGTATGACCGCGGGCTTGTGAAAAATTATAGCAGAGAAGAGACTTAAAATGTATCAATATGTATAACTTTTTTTATTTTAAGTATCAATATGGAATAAAACCAATAATTTTTAAGAAAATCCATTTTCCAAAACAATGTAACATTTATTGATTTCAAAGGTACACGTGTCAGTTGTACCTCGTACTAGTATAATAATAATAAATAATTACATGTATGAGTTCAACTGGGTAATAGTATAATATAAAAATATCTTATACATATATAATCTTTTTTCTAGTTTAATTCTTTTTTTTCTTATAGGACTCAGAATTCAAGCTTTTAAATCATTATTTAAAGCATTCTTTAGCTTGCTTACTCCCCATTGCTTACTTCAACGATATCTATTTTATTATCCAATTTCAAAAGTTGCTATTGTATAAAAATTTTCTTTTAGCCGCTTTTTTTTACAAGTTAGGAAAATTGTTTAAAACTAGTAAAAATGTTGAATTAGCGCTTTCTTTATATGACAATGCATCAATACATGCAAGGCTTTTAAAAATTTCACTGTTAAAATTAAATTCTGTTTTATTTATAAACAAAGTTCAATATAACATAACTGAATATTTTTTTATTTTTAAAATTTGAACTTTACTTAAATGTGCTGTTTATATATACGTCTGTGCGGCACAAGTAATATATACTTCCTTAAAAGGTAAATGATAATCTGGGTTACAAACTTCTATATCAGCTAGGTTAATTAGTATACAGTCTAGGGCCGGTTGTTCAATATCTGATTAGCACTAATCGGAAGTAGAAGCTCCGGTTAAATACAGCGACTGCTTAATCAGCCACATGTTATATGCATAATGTCAAAAACGTCAATAATGATGTTTAACCGGCAATTAGTAATAACCATACAACAACCGGCCTTTAGTTTGACCATAAACGACAATATAAGTATAAAGTTACTTTCAAAATTTTTATATAACTTATACAATCTGTATGATTCACTTTGAAATTCTATGTTCATTCTATTGACGTTATCCAAAATATTTGACAAAAATTAATAATGAATTTTTATTGGTGCGGAATCAAGTTTTTTGGCAATAGCTCGTGCTTGGTTCCCACCGTCATCGAAACAAGATATGAAAAATAATTCCAGCACGCTCTACTGGAACAGTAAAAAATTACCAGTTTGCAACAGCGATAACTAGCAAAACGTTCGACACTGGAAAAATTTTAAGACTTTTAACACCAACGTAGTTTTGAAACTCGGCAAATTCATTCACCCTTTTAGCACTATGTGCGAAGAAATCGTAAACATCTCTAGCAAGTTTTACGACTTTTACGGGAATTTATGACAGTTAGAACAAATATTCAAAAAAAATCATTAGATTAACGCTAAATCGGCCAATCTGGACACTCTGGTGACGACTTTATACCCGTTTTCATAAAATCATCTGCGCACATTGTTTCATTTCGCGAGAATTTCATTACTGAGGCCAATGCTAACAGATCTTTGAAATTAATTTTTTGAACTTTGGGTCAAGTAAAGTTAATGCAGTTAGCAAAAAAGAATGTTCGATGGATGGACTTCAGACTACTACAGAATTCACATTTCTTGAAAATATTTTTACGATTATTTTACAATTAGTCGATTAAAAATCGATTAATTACAAACATAGCTCCGATACAACTAAATCGTAAATTGGAGAAAAATAATCGAATGATAAATCGTTGCCATTACTAATTAAGTGTTTTTATTTGTCCATATGAATGGATTAAATTCCTTAATATTTTTGAAATTGTCTCTTGCTCCTATTGGTTGTCGCTGATTAGGAGATATATTAATTAATCTAGCTTTTTTTAACTGGTTGTGTACATAACATTTCCTCATTATCCTATTTATTTACTATTGATTCCTAACCTAAAAATATCTCGTTTTCAGACTGCAATAAGGAACAATTATTTGAGGAATCAACAAAAGGAGAAAGGAAGGAAGACTTAATTTTTCTAGTATTTGGAATGAAATACATACATACAGTCAAAAGATTTACTTCAGTATGATATTAGAAAGCCAAAAGCTTTTAAACACGTATCACTGAGACCCAAGCAAGTGGCAATTCAACGGAGCAAACATCTAACAATTTATAACGAATATTTGTCCTCGCATTGAATAAAGACATCTTATTCAAAATTTGTGACAAGCGCATGAAAAAGTAACCATACTTACAAACAAATAATATGATAAGAAAAGCAAGCTAAATAAACAGCTTCCAAGCATATCAACCGAACTACACTGCATATTTGACAAAAAAAAAATAGAAACCTAGGAAGTGACCTAGTCTAGTAAAGGCAAGTGATAAGCGAAAGGTCGAATAAAACTAGAAAAAAACGAGAGCAGTCACGAGGACTGAACAAATGTATATCACTAATAGCAGCAACATTGGTATGGCCACGTTGTTGCAACAGAATAAGGCTACTTGCATGAAGACTCTTATCAATGGCGGTGGTAATGGCAGCAGTAACGGCAATCCGGGAAGCAACGTCAACAACACAGGTATAGTTGTTGGTAGTCTCGTAAGTGGTGTTGGGGCCGGAACATCTCAGGTCGGTGGTGCAAGTCTTGCAACTGTCGTTGGCGCCAGTGGGGCGTCAAATATTGGTGGTCTTGGTGCTAGCGGTGTTGGAAGTAACATAGTGTTGTCCACAGGACAGGCCATTGTTCTGACAAATGGTGCAACCGGTGCTAGTAGTATCATAAACTATCAACAGTATCAACAGTTGTTGCAACAACAGCACCAGCACCAGCAGCAACAACAACAGCAACAAATAAACTCAACAAGTTCGGGTCTCAGTACAGTTGCCACAACCACTACAGCATCGGGTGCCCGGGTTTTAATGCCGCACGAAATGGTTACGCTTCCGATTAGTAGTATTGTAACGACGAGCGGTGGTGGCTTAGCACTGATAACCAGCGCCAACACAGGTGGAGGAAGTGGCACGCCGACGCAAGGACATTTCTTGGTGGCAGCAACTGCCAGTCCCGCGGTGCATCCCATCCAAACGACCACGATGGTCTCTACTGGCGGTAGTATTAGTAGCTTCCAGCAACAATTCCAACAGCAAATAGCCGCACAACAAACAACTACGAGCAACAATGTAGTGACATCTGCTCCAACTAGCCGTGCAACAACTACAATTTATACTCAACATCCAACCACTTCAGGCATTGTCTCAACAGTGCCTACAACACGTTATTTTTCGCAATTCAGCAATCAGCAACAACCAACGTCCAGCATAAGTACCGGGACTACAACATCAACAATTGTTGCCACAAAAGCTACTGGCAACCGAACTACTCACGTACTCATAAATCGCTCCAATAACACTATAATCGCTGGTAACACTACACAACGCCTGCAGCATGCTAAAATTTTGAATAAACCACCGACAAATATTGCAGCGACCGCCGTTATCGCTAATAAGTCTCAAATTAATCATAATTCTCATTCTCCTGCCATACAAGCTGTGAAGCTGCAACAACAACCACTGCGCCAAAACATTTCGGCCTTGCAACAAATTAGACAACAAACGCAACAGCAGCAGCAAAAACAACAACAACAACAACAACAAAAGATACAACTAGTTAAGCCCATCGTTCACAGTAGCAATGCGGTGACAGTGACGGCCACGAAAACAACAACAGTAGCCAACATGGCTGCGACTTCACGCAATCTATCGACTGTTACGCAAGTTAACGGTGTTCCCAATTTAGTTCCTAACAGCAACAGCATCACCACCACCAAGAGTGGAACTATGACAACATCCACATCGGCAACTTTATCAGTGAAAACGTTACCAACTGCAGCTGTATTCCCGCAAAAGCAGCAACAGTTGCAGTTGCAGGCCCAACAACAAATGCATCAACAACATAACCAAAACCAAATTCAACAACGTCAATCTCAGCAGCAGGGACAATCTGAGGAACATAAACACGTAATTGCCCACTCTCGTACTATACCCGCCACATCTCTGCCTGCGACAACAGTTGCTGCCACACCCGATGGCACTGCCATCACGGAAGCTGCTGAGCCTGAGGTTGAACCGGAGATTGACATTGTCATCAACAACGTGGTTTGCTCGTTCAGTGTGCGATGCCATTTGAATCTGCGTGATATTGCTCTCAAGGGTCTCAATGTGGAGTATCGTCGCGAGAACGGTATGGTGACAATGAAGCTGCGAAGACCTTATACGACTGCGTCCATCTGGTCATCAGGTCGAATCACCTGCACAGGTGCCACATCTGAAGAACAGGTGCGTTAGAGTATGATTGAATATGTATGTATATATATTTTTAACTGACGTCAATTCGTCGGAATATTTTTTTATGTATGTTACCGCATAACTTTGGACCACGTGAACCGATTTCGAAAATCTTTTATCGGAAAGGTGCTCAGTAGATAATATCAGGAGCTAAAAAGCCCTTCCGAAAGGCCTTCCACTCTATATTCTTTTCTCCTTTCTTTTTTGTATGGAGTGGCACAAATTAAAGGGCTTCTTCTTTCGCTACCCATGGAAGGCCTTCCAGAAGAGCTTTTAAAGGACGTACTTCAGAAGGCCGTTTGGAGGAGTTCTTTTAAAGTTGCTTCTTTAATTTATAAAAATCATGCATCTTTGAAATATTTCTTCGATGTTTTGCAAACCCGCCCATCGAACAGTTGCAAAACCGCCTAAATCGCCGTTTTGGCAAAAATTAAATTTGGTAACCCAGATCTCCAGGCATCGAAATTTATGGCAAAAATTTGTAAAATAATAGCTAAAGAAAATACTGCCTATCAAGGCAATGCCTTCAAAGAAAAACCGTTTTTTCGCTCCTGTAAAATTTGAGTGCCGTACGAAAAGGGGTTTTGCAATTGGTCGACGGGCGGTTTTGCAATGTTTATTGAAATTCATTTGTAATGCTAAAAAATATAAATTTATGCATTCGCGATAAGCCCTTATAGAAGGCATGCAAGGAAGCACGTTTTTCAACTCTTCTTGGGCAGGCCTCTTAGAATGACTTTACTTAAGAATACCTATCTAAATTATCTTCTGGGTGGTCCCATACTAATTTGGCTTAGAACCGATAATTGGATCATGAAGAAATTAACGGTAATCCTAAATTTTTATTTTTGAAAACAACATACTAATATAATTGGATACTTCATCTACACTCATGAATTCATTTTACATTTACTTTTAGGCGAAAATTGCAGCACGCCGTTATGCACGCGTCCTTGAAAAACTTGGGTTCCGTGCCCGTTTTCACAATTTCCGAGTAGTGAACGTACTGGGCACATGCAGCATGCCGTGGGCCATTAAAATTTTAAACTTCTCTGAAAGGTACAAGAAAGAGGCGAGTTACGAGCCCGAATTGCATCCAGGTGTTACATATAAATTGCGCTTTCCAAAGGCTACTTTGAAAATTTTCTCCACCGGCAGTATTACTGTGACGGGTGAGAATCTTGAAATTTGTCGGTTTGCTTTTATTATTAAATAATGGAACTTGAATTTTTTATATAAATATTCCAGCTGCTAGTGTTGCTAATGTGCAGGCTGCTATTGAACATATCTTCCCACTGGTCTACGAGTTTCGCAAAAAACGCTCACCCGAAGAGTTGGAACAGTTGCGTATTAAGCAACAACAGGCGGCTTTGGTTGACACTACTGAATTGGAGGAGGTGCTAGATAGCGATATTGTCGTTGAAACTACCCAAAGTGTGCCAACATTACAGCGCAGGCGTTCATGCAATAACGTAATCAATAATTTTAAGCAAAAGCGTAGAAGACTGGGCAGTGATGCCGAAGATGGAACGTTAGCAGCTGCTGAAGAAGTTGACGATCCTGAGGCAAAAGAAACCGATGATAATATTGTTATGTACGATCCGGACGATTTAATTGAAGGACCTGATGATGAGGAAGTATAAATGCGATATGCGATGTGTTTCTCTCGTTGGTAGAGGGGAGTGTTAAAAAGCATTCATGCTGTTTGATTATGTATTATGGTTTCAACAAAATTTCTATACATAATGTAATGTTTTATCTACGAGAAGAAAATGACTTTACTACAAATAGTAATAATGAAACGAAATACGAATAACAACAAAATAAAAACATAGAATACTTATATTGTAGAATGAATGATACGAATTGCATAAAAATGCAAGCGAATTGATCAGCGAATTCATTCAGTTTGACGCCTTACAAATTGCATATTAGAAGAAAAACTTGAACACATCAGAAACCAAATCAAATCAAATCTAATCAAACAAATGCAGTTTATCGTTAAAAATACAACACATTAAAAACTGGACGATAATGATATGTGTGAGTGAATACATACACTCAAATGTGCGCATATATTTCAAGAACTCCAGTACAATCAAACACATCATACATATGGGATTTTTTCGTTTCACCATGATTGGCATTTAAGCGATTCGAGATTCATGCCAAGATGCAAGCAATGAAAATATTAAATGTCTAATTTTGAGGAGTCTGCGAACTGCAAACTGCGATCTACTATGGGAATTGTGAGCCAAATAACTACAACTATTTTTAAGGTAAGCCCTTACAATATGTATACTGAATACATATGTATATCGTCGTTTAAAGTATAAAACCGTATATCGTCATTCTGCAAAACCTCGTAACTGACATTGGCTGCCAAAAATTGAATTTGCTCACACAAGCTCTTGGCTCAATTTTATCCATTCGTCCTGAAATATACTAGAGGTGCTATTGCTTTATAAAAAAGAGAACCATTTTGAAATATGAGTGTTTTTACTCTCTAGAAAATAATTTATGGAACCTCACATACGCGGATTTGCATATGAACGTTTGTATGCTTGTTTCTAGAGCAGTGATGGGCAGCGCAGGCAGAACTTTTTGCAAAACTTTGCACATGCTTATGGAGTTCTGCCAACGGTGCCCATGGCTGTTCTATAGAGCATAGGTAATATGTAGAGATCGCAAGGTAGACGCTTTTACAGATGCAAAGTGAATATTGAGTTTTTTTTTTCTTTTTTGAAGCAGACAGTTTTTTTTTTTGCTATTTATCTTTTATACATTTCTAAGTTTGACAATTAACGAATAAATTCCAAGGGCTCCGAAAGAAGCCCAAAGGTCCGAAAATTTTAAAAACGATTCAGCAAGTTTCCAAAACATAAGTATGAAAGATTTCGTAAAGTGCCAGGAAAATCCCGAAAAATTACAAAAAAGCGAAAAACCCTAGCAAGATGCCGAGAAATTCTCGAAAGGTCATAAAAAACTCAGATGAGGAAAAAAATCCGAAAACTAAAGTAGCGCGAAGTCCGAAAAAAACTCGATATTCATGTTCACGAAGCACACACATCATTTTAGAAACCGATTATTTTTTGCTAAAAAAAAAATTGAGCAAACTTAAAAAAAGCAAGAATTATCGGTATATCTTGCTCAAAATAATAAAAGTGAAGATATCATATATAACAAACAGAGAGAGCTTTTTGAAAAAAAGCGTCACGAAGATTTGTCGGTACGTCTTTTGTATTTGAAAAACTAAAAATAACTTTGATTTAACATTTTCAAAAATTGAATCCGCCTTAACGCATTCATGTACATACATGTGTACATTTATTAGATCGTGTCAAATTTCAGTCCTCTATCTAAATTTTTGTTTAATAAAAAAATGGTTTTACGTTACTTTTTAAATAAATATTCAAATACATAAATATATATATATAATATAAAAGCCCATTAATTTAGTGTAATATTTGCAAGTTTAAAGCACCTAGGACTTACCGTTGATTTTTTACCTTCTTTCACAGGTATTTTTAGCTTCCAGTGCTTAGTTACAACGTTATTTGCTACAATGTCAATCTATAACATCAGATTATGCAAAATTGCGGCGAAACATTTAAATTAAATGGATCACTCCAAGAATGCAGCAAATACCAATACTAAAAAAAAAACACTAAATAACAACTGTGTTACAACAATTCAAGCAGAAATATACAATTTTATGTATAATTATGATATGATATGATAATTAGCAATACTGGCATACATAATCGTATGAAAAAAATAATTTTGGGAGTAAATTTTTTAGTTTTAAGATTTCTCAAATAAGTTTTTTGTTTTGATGAAAAAGGCTTTCCCGCTCTTCACTTAATTTAAATATTGTAAGAATTATTGCTCTGTTCATATCCGATATGCATACATACATACATACAAATATTGCGTTCATAAGAGAAACAAAAAACCACCGCAACAAACATACATGTACTATATATACACATTTTCATACCTACACGTATAATTGACTTACATATTCACTTTAAAGAATTTTAAATTCTATCATAATTTATTAATGAATCAAATCACTTTATTTACTAAAACGTTTAGCATGAAGTCATTTGGATTTCAATTACATGTTAACGCTATAATGTCTATGCTTACATATGTATGTATAAAACATAGAAAAGAAAGCTTCTGTATAGAAATTTCGATTTATTTATTTAAATAAATGGACATTATAAATGCAAATATATTATTTATTGAATCGATTTGAGTTATACTTAATTATATTAATTAATTCAATTATTTTGAATCATCAATCAATTAATGAATGAAGAAATGCTTGGACCTACATGCATACATACATACACACACATACTTATATTTAATTTAGTAATATAATTTAAATAATGTAACAATCATTATTACTTTCATACTTAGAAAGGCAATCAAAGAGGACAGTCAAATCTGTTATGCTAACAGCCAATAGCCAATAGCCAAACTGGCATAACTAACAACTAAAAACTATTTAAATAAGATATGTAATTTATATATAAAAAAAAAAAATAAACAAACAAGCGAGCAAAAGAAAATGCAATCATGTACTTTGCAAAAGAAGACGGAATTTAAAGTACTAATTTATATACATACATATATAGAATACGAGTATATCTTCACTTATCTGGTCACACTTAAACCAATTACCTACAAACTAAAAGCAAATACGATACGCAAACAAACAAAAAAATATAGACTAAAAAATGGTAGCATACACACAAACAAACAAACATACATTGTATTTGTTATACATATTGTATTATGAACATATAATCACTAAAACAATTTAAAGGTTTAAAATTAAAAAAAAAAAAAAATACGTAACTAACTCTTTAGCAGCAACGAGCTGTATGCAAGTAAGAAGTCGCTAACACTCAAGGCATTATATGAGAATCTTAAAACATGTGTTTGCCATTGGGTTTCTTACTGAAAGAATGCGTAGACTAAAAGCCAAAATTTAACAGCAAACAAATTTTAAATAGACTATGGTAATTGCACGGTCGTCGACGAAAGAAGGGTGCGTACGTCAAAGCGACGCTGCCTCAGTTATTTCAACATTATATTTCCTTGGCTGACGCTGATGATTTGCACGTCGCTGTAGTGTAATTCCGATCAGCATCTTCGTTTACCATGTTAAACTACCTTGATGTTATTGATAGCGGACGAGATCATAATTTCCGCTCGTAATATTCGACCAGGAAAGAAATTTTAATTGGCAAGTATTGCTTTTTCTGTGGTACAGTTTAACAAAATTAATTAAATTTTGCTTTTTTTAATGAAGCTAGTTCCCTTACATTGGCGTGCTGTATAACAACAAAAAGTCGCGGCTTGTAGAAACACAAAAGTGTATATATATTTTTAATGGCCAGTAAATCGTGCTGTTAAATGTAGTCGCCTACTCCATATTTGCCTAGCCAAATACCTAAATATGTCTATACGTAAAACAATTCTTTCTCTTTGAAAAGCAAGCAATAATCGCATGAATAAAATTGCTGGTAAGAAGCCACTGGAAGCGAGGGAGTAGTTGTGAGAGCTTCGGTGGAGATGCACTTGTTTGCTAATGCCTTGTATCAAATCAAATATTTTTGCACTATTTGCTAATACAATTTTAGGAATTATACGTTTTGTTCCTCTTCATATATGTATATGTAAGTCTTTATGTATTTAGAAGTTTTCAGCTTATAAACAATTTTAATGAAATAATTAGTTAATTGAATAATTAAAAAAAAAAAATCGTATTAGCTAAAAAAAGCAATCATTCGTTAATTTAATTTTAAAATGTGTTTGCATACATACGTACATAGACATGTATGTACATGAGTCGATATACATACGTACATACTTGTACATTTGTATGTATGCGCGTTTGCAGTTTTTTTTATTTTTAAATGCATTGCTACCGAAAAAATATCATATTTAACTTAAAGTGCATTATTCTTTGAAGTTACTTTGATAATTATATACTTACTAATTTTTAATATTTTTTGCAAATGTTACATTACATTAGTTCCACGTAAGACCATTTTAAGTGTTGGTAATTAAACTATAAAAATTAAAGCAAACAAAATACATACCTACATATTATACATAAATATGTATAACAACACATAAAAAATACACAAATACAATCACACATGTACACAATTGCATATGCATATGTATATTTACATACTAACAACTTATACATATGAGAATGACACATACTACATATAAAAATACATAAATACATACATATACTAAAAATACATATGAAAACTAAACAAATTTAGTTGTAAAGAAAAAAATTAATACAAAAAAAAAAAAAATTTCACCAACAGAAAACCAAAATCTTGAGTGAAGACATACATAGAATGAAAGAATTACTCGAATCATAAAGAAATTAAATTATTAATTTGTATGTATGTACATGCATATCGTCACCTGAAATGAGAAATTACGTAACAAACATCGTCACTGTAATAGTTAAAGTCGTGACTAATAACTTTTTTTTTTATAAAACGATGTAGGGATTTCTAATTCGATGAATTCCATCATATCAATCAAAAAGTTAATTTTGAATTTACTATAAGTTACGACTTTTTGCATTTCAGTGACGGTGTTTGTTATGTCTTTTTGCATTTCCGGTGACAATATGTACATATGTACATACGCATACATCTATTTAAAAACGTATAAAACAAGAGAACAACAAAGTGAAGTGCAAGAGCGAAAACTGTAAAAAATTGCAGCAATAAAAAATATGCAAAATTGTTAAAAATCAATGCAACTGTTTGGCAAGCATCATGAAATGTAAATATAAAAAAAATATGTGCTATCCTAAAGAAATAATAATGTGCAAAGTCTACCGTTTGTAAAATAAATACTCGCGAGCATTGTACAAATTTATCAATACATATCGAGCCCTAACCGCCAAAATAACGTAAGCGACATTTTTTTAAAAATTTTCATTTTGATGCAGAAATATTCCTAGAGCATCTAGATGCATTTCTGCATCAAAAATAAAATTTTGAAAAAAATGTCGCTTACGTTATTTTGGCGGTTAGGGCTCGATATGTATGTGAAAGCTTGTTTGATAACAAAAGAGAGTTTTGCTGAATTCTTGGAGCAAGTTTTCGTGTCAACCTTTGTAGCGTTTCCAGGGCTTATATTCCATACACTCTATCTGCGATTGTCACAAAAACTATATTGTGATGTTAGAACCCATTTGGGACTTACCTATCTTCACTGATTTTAATTCTGGCTTTGCATTAATAACACCGATGACAGTTATGTCAGTCTTAGGTGGATTTTTGTATCAGAATCTCATTTTTGTGAAAAGTGCAGAGGGTATCGAATATAAGCCCTCGGTTTGCTTCTAGACAAACAGCTTACGGGTTTGTGCCATCTTCAATAAAATTTTTTCATAGTTATTACAAATTATGACAAAACAGTGTTCGAAAACTCAAAAAAATTGGCAGCAAACAAAAAAGTGAGAATTGAAGTGAAAGTTCGGCTTGGAAGAAAATTCTTCACGAAAACTTATAACCACCTAAAAGCATATGTTTGAATGTTTTGTTAATAAACTAAATTGAGTCTCGTAAAATTTTGCCTTTTAGAGCAGTTTGTACTAATTTATATTTGAGGAATGTTTCTGGCAAATATTGAACGGCCGGTTTCTTTTTTACCTCGCTTTTATTAGCTTGGGCTGTAACTATGTAATATTGATGCGCCTAAAAGGATGCGGCGATTTCCATTAGTTTCATACCTGATGACAGTACCAATCGAAATTATAAAAGCGAGTTTTTAGTTTTTTGAACTATATTTATTATTCCTTTCATCACTGCAATTTAAATTTCTATGAATTTCTGGAAAATATTCTGGATTTTTTTTTTGATTTTCATTTTGTGTTTAAGAGAGCACTTTTAAATATTCGCTTTGATTTTATTGCCGGTTGGTCACGGCTAATTTTATTGTCGAACGGAACTGTTGTAATGCATCAGCTGGGTGTCAATAATTAGCCGAGCAGCCGAGATCACCTGATTTCCGAGGTCTATTTTCATTCGTTATTCTAAAAATTTTGCACCTCAACATTTTTATTCAATTATGAAATTCTTTTATTTCTGCTAGCCGCCGTAGTCGATATACTAAAAACAAAAAAAAATAGAAAATCAACCTTATAATCATGTACAATGCGCGCGAGTTTTCATTTTTGCGTTCGAAAATTTTGTATTCGAAAATGCGTAAAGGCAGCTTATTTCAATTTTTTTCTTATTCCTTGGAAATGATAAGCACCAAAATATCAAAATTTTGTATAACTTTAGTTTTAGAAAAATTTAATGCAGATAGCTTAATGATAATTTTGAATGCTGCTCCACATATTTTTTACAAGTGTTTAGACGAGTTGAAGGAACGAGGGAAGCAACAAGAAATTTTAGCATTCACTTATTTAAAACAAAAAAAAAAAAAACGAAAATCTGGCAAGGCTAACCGCCAACACAGTTTCTCATATAACAGCTTGTCTAGATTAACTGCATGCGGCTTCTTTTGTTGCGTTAAAAGCTTTCTTCAGACTTCAACTCGCTTGGTTTCAACACTTAATTGAGGAAAAAGATGAGAAATTTGCCGAGTGATTTGTGTACTTTGCTATTCCTCACTCAAAAAACAAACACCCGACTGTCAGTAAATGCTTTTCGCTAGAAAACAACATAAATACAGAGTTAATTAACTGTATTGCATAATCAAATAACGATTATTAAGGAATGAAATAACTGCCTTAAAATGTAAACATATAAAATATAATAAAATATAGGAGTACATACATACATGCATTTGAATGTATCTATGAACAAAAAAATTATAGATTTCGAAAAAAAAAACACAACAAAAAAGGAAGTTGAAAAATTAAAATTTAGGAGTTTTTGACTTTTTCAATGCTAAATATAAGTTTAATGTGAAAAAAAAACTTATTTTGCAAGAAAAAATAATTATTTTTTACTTTATTACAAACGTTATTAATTTTCTGTTGTCTTACAAATCTAGCTTTATTTATTTAAATTCGTTTGTTAAATTAAATGTTTTTTTCTTTGACAGAAACAAAACTCTAGTAATTATTAAAAAAAAAGAAAAATAGTAATAACTGAAAAGGGAATACATTAAATATTTGTAATCAAATAGTTTTGCTTTTCTTTTTTGCCGTAAAGACTGCGTTATACCAACCAATAATGAAAGAAACAAACAATTATTTTTTAACAAAAATAAGAAAAAAAACAAAGCGAAAATGCAAAATACAATACTAAAAATATTAAATAATTTAAGTAAATGTGTATATTGAATGAATAAATAATTAAAATTAATTTAATGATGATATAAATTTAAGGGGAGGAGAACAAAAGCGAAAGTGAAAATGAAGAAACTAGTTGATAAGCCAAATTACAAAAAAATCTAAAGTTTTAGCAATAAAGGAAAAGCCTTAACATTTGAGTATATTAAAATAAAAAAATAAAAATAAAATGAAAATACAAAACATATAAATATAAATACCGTAAAAAAATGTACACACACTCATTCAAAAGTTTTGGGGGGCATATGGAAAGCAAGGAGCCAGTGGTAAAGATATTACAAAATAAAAATTTGAATACATGGAATGTAAAAAAAAAAATTAGAGAGCGAAAAGAAAAATCATCAATAAAATCAATCAAAATTATAACACCGCATTTGTAATTGCGTTGGCAATAAACTACAAAAAAAAAAAAAAATGTAGTATAGGTAGTGAAACGTGAGCAAAATGCAAGGGTAATTTAACCTAAATTAAAAGCTAAAAGCCATATTTCAAAACACAAATTTTGTTCTCAAAAAATATATTTGCAGGGCAGGT